GGGCTCGAACTTCGGTCCCCAGAGCAACAGAAATGTTTCCAAACCACTTAACGTTCTGAGCCATCAACACACTTCCAAAACCGGTTGCGCTAAAACATATGTATACCAAGGAATCAATTGTAGATGTGTGGATTAACACTAGAAAGCCGAAGGCGGTCATTTTGACCGCTTTCCAATTTCAAGTACAAAAGCAACTGTACATTTAATGACACTTTTATTTTAAATTTGGTGATTTGTTTATAATAAACGTAATTCTATGATATACAAAAAGTCACCAAATTTTAAAAAAAACTGTCATTAAATGCACAGTTGCTTTTTTACTTGAAATTGGAAAGCGGTCAAAATGACTGCCTTCGGCGTTCTAGTGTTAATTATCCATCGCTACAACAAAAATCTGTTTTGAAAAAGGACTGTTTCTAGAATGAAGACAAATTGCGAATCTTGACAAATTTGAATTTAATTCGCATAAGCAAGTTTCGTATCAGGGCGGAATAAATACAAGTTATCAACATACGACCTTTGTAAAGCCTCATAGCCCAATATGCCTGATGAGCCGCTTAACCAACGGCGAAACGCGTCGCATAATGGTGGGTACGTAGGTTCTTCTCCTGGCTTTCCTTTTCATTGCAAAATCTTAGATCATTAAGCTCGACTCGAAAGAGTACAAATAACTCACTTAAAATTTACTTTCAAATAATCACTGCACTTACAAGGCAAAATTAAAATAACAAAAGCTCTTTTGCAAAATTAGAATGTGGGATTCAAGAAAACCAATCGAACCATTTATTTGAAATGTTCTTTTTGTGGAAGTGTTCTTAAAATTCGAAGAAAATATATATGGGAGCAATATCTTTATCTGAAAGTAAATCCTCCGCAGGAGAAATGATTACAACAGAATTTCAGCGAATTCCGTTGAAAACGAGCTCAAGAACCCCAAAATATATTCATAATTTTGTGTAGAGACATTTAGTACCCAACACGAACCCAATGTACCAAATTTCAGTGAATTCGGTTGAAAAACGCGCTCAAGAATCCCAAAATACCGAAAATTGGGGGTACCCTCATATGGGGGCTATACGAAAAAGTGGACGTATAATCATATTTTTTTGTGGAGGCATTGAGTACCCAATACGAACCCAATGTAGCACATTTAAGCGAATTCGGTTGAAAAACGCGTTCAAGAACCTCAAAATACCGAAAATTGAGGGGTACCGTTATATGGGGTTACCAGAAAAAATTGACAATTTTAAAAATTTTTAATAGGTACCCTCCCTACTATGGTGGAGGGTATAAAAAAAGAGACTTCGATAGAGAAAGTTAAGACGTCAGGACCAGGAAAAGTGTTCGCTGGTTGCCGTTATAAGCGCACTGAACTTAAGTTCTTTTCAAATATTCGATCCAATATTGTAGACGTCATTATAAATTGATCTCGTTTCATAGACACGAAAAACATATCGGCGTGTATTGTTATGGAAGGCATTATGTATTATATTGTTTGGGTATATACATTGACTTTGATTTTTACAAGCTAGATTTGTATTTTTTCCACTGTGCACTATAGGTAATTTTGACAGTTTTTAGGCAAAAAGTCATTTTTTCAATTTTGGAAAATAATATATTTTTTTGATGGCAATAAAAAAACATCGCAAAATTTATGATTCTGTAAGATTTTTTGCGTAAAGTGTCTTTAAAGCGGTGGAAATCGTTGCCAAACTCTACACTTTGAAAATAAAAGTAAAGAAATAAAAAATTTTTAAAAATTAAGGCTTATTTTAAAACGTATGAAACCACTTAATACAAATCATAAACATAAAAATTAAACATGGAGAGTATTGGCGGTGGTGTGTGCTCTCTATTTAATATATAATATTTGTTAATACGTTTGTGTAGCGATTCAAAGTTTACATAGTTGACTATAATAAAATAAATGCGTTTATTTTTTACCCATAAGTCATTTTAGATAGACTTTTACTAAAATGTTTAAATTTGTCTGATCTTTTGACAACTGTAATATATAAATGAAAGCCTCCTAAATCGATTCCAATACGTCTCAAATTGCGATTCTTTGCATTTTTCAAGATATATTCGTTTTTTGTAGAGAATTTCAGAATTTTGATGAAAGAAATAAAAGCAAAGAAACATATTGTTATTTACAACGTCCCCGCACGTAAAGTTGGCAATAACAGGAATATAGACGAAAAATGCGTCAACTTAAAAAAGGAAATTAGGTAATGTTGCATGCATTTGTCAAAATGGACCAAATGTCATAGGAACTTTTCCGCGAAAAAAAACGAATACACTCGAATTTTGATTACAAAATAAATAACAAGACTCGTAAACCGCAAATAGGTTGTTGAAGTAAAGATTATGAGAAAAAATCTTAAAAGTGCAAAAGAGGAAATGGCGGGCTTGGGTTTCCCTTAGAATATAAACCACCAAAAATTGATTGTTTTCAGCATTGATTAAAAATAAAAAATTACACACGAAAAAATGTTGTTCAGTATAACCAGGGTTTAATATAATCGTGTTCGACTGTAGTACACATGGTTTTATCTCACTTTTACATATTAATAACATCAAAGAGTAAAATGGGTACTGAATTAATTGTTATTAATGTATTCTGGAAAAACATACAACATTGTAATAATTATTCCTTTAAAAATCTGATCGCGGGTCGAAATATTTTTAAAACACTACCCTAATAGTTTTCAACCGTTTGTTGTGTTTAAGAAAACTAATGAAAATATCTGAAAAAGAATTAGCTTTGTTCGATATATGTGTAGTTGCTTATAACCGTTGTTCGTTATATCCGGTTTCTACTGTGGAAATCTGCGTTTTCTCTTTCTTGTACATATAAATCATTTAAAAAGTCAAAAAATCGTTTAACACTGCTGTTATTAATTTTTGCCTCAAAACAGGGCAAATTACCTATAGTGCTGTGTACCGTTTATTGTAACATCAAGAACTACATGTGAAAAGAAATAGCTAAAAGTGTGAAGCTCAAAAAGGGGTATTTAAACCACACACTTATTAATTGATATGCAAGATTGGTGACAATTTGTTTGCAGAAAAGTTTAGTTTTACAGAACTAACAAAAACAAAACCAAATCACTCTTACATTAGATCGGTCTTGCAGCAATTGAGCGGTATGTATTTTGAGTGGACTTGAACACACATTCTGCAATTAGATGACAATCAAGCTGAACAGTGATTATCGAGTAGAGCAGCATTTGGGTACAACATAATTTATATGTACGTATGATTTGTGTCTGCAAATTTTGCATTAAAATTATTAAAATGGATCGATACCTTGTATTATTGTAGAGATAATTATTTCAAAATTTCATGTTATTTGTACCGAACAGAATTATGTATGAAGGTTACATGTTAATCTAGATCGATTTGAATTAAACTGTTGTCCCAAGGGCTTGTAACGCCGCGAAATACTGGTCCTTGACCCACCTGTTAGATCTTTGGGCCAAATAACTGACTTGTGTCAAATTTCATCCAAATGGACAGACGGACAGACATGCATAAATCGACTCTATGCATATTCTCAAAAGAAGCCATGGGTCTATCTCGATACTTTTGCCTGTTACAAATATATGTACAAAGACACAGTGCGGTGAATGATATAAATACTAACCTCAAGCTCGTCAAAATTTAATATTTATTAAACCAATAAAGAAAGTAGTCAAGTCGGACGGGGCCGACTATATGATACCCTTCACCACTTTGGGTATATTAAACAGATGAATCCTAACAGACGTCGCATTTTTGAAGGACCATTAACATGAAATTGGATCCATAAACATGTCATTCTGCAACCTATACTAAGATTTTGTCTTGGTCAGATATAGAGTTGCTTCTTACAATGGAACAAAATTATGAAAATCAATTTAAAGAAAATATCAATCGGACACCCCTTTATTATTTGGATACATATTTGATAAACATGAGGAGTTTTGTGCACCATTTACTTAAAATCGGACGAAAATATATCTCTGTATTAACTTGTAAAGGCAATAAGTCAAATTTTCGAGAAATTGAGATTTTGATACAGTTATGTATGTATAATAAGGCAATATACATCGATCTAAACAAATAAAAATACAGTTATCACATTTGTTATTGTTGTTTTGTATTGATGAGTTAAGGCGCTAAGTCCAATTTATCACATGTCGCTGGCTTAACATCATGTGCTGTCCAATATTTGTCATATTGAGACAAAATATTTCACCTCGTACTAGGTCCGTATTGATGAATGCGAAGTTTTGTTGGAATCAGCTCAGATTTAGATATAGCTGCCAAATATTGTTTCGTCCGATTTTATGTAAATGGTGCACCATACTGTCAATGTTTGTCAGATTGAGACAAAAGTTTGCATAGCGTATTGAAATTACTACAGGTTGACGTCCATAAAGTTTTGTTGGGATCGGTTCAGATTTATATATAGATCCCTTATATATTTTCGTCCGATTTTACGTAGCGGTACACCGAGGAGTCTATGTTTGTTATATAGAATGATTTTTGTCTAGTCTAGAATGATTTTTGTTAAGTTTGAAATCGGTTCAGATTTAAATACAGCTCACATATTTTAGTCCCATTTTATATAAATGGATCCTGTCCTATTAGAACGATATTTTGTTGTTGATATCGGTTCAGATATAGACATTGCTCCCTCATATATTTTTGTCCGTTTTGAAATCGTTTCAAATCGGGAAGTTAGTAGAGCTTATTATTATGCTTTGATTAATATTTTCGATCAACTTTCACCAAATAATAACAATAAGTTTCATGTATCTCAGAATACAAGCATTGAATATACTCAAAGTGTTAAAGGGTATCATTTAGTTGGCCTCGTCTGAATTTACTATTTTTCCAGGTTTTTTCCTTAGAATTTTCCAATAACTTTTTTATATTACTTTATTTATTTTTTAGACTATGAAGCTATATACCAAATTTCCGAATTTCAATATTTCCCTTTTAGTTATCTATATTTATCTATTTTTAATTCTCAAAACTGGAATATGCTTCAGCTTCAGCACAATGGAAAAACTGAACTCCAAATCGGCGTACTGAAAATCTGTGGAAAACTTAAAGTTCCTTAATAACTTAGCCAAAGTTACTTTTGTTGACATCAGACCATATTTCCATCCTGTATTATAGGTAGAAAAATTAAATGACTATAAAAATAAGTCTTATTTACGAAACATTTTTGAAATCCTACCTATACAGTTACGAATTCCCTTGGGCCAATATTAATCATTTTTGGTACATATATGTGTTATTCAAAGTGAACCCAAACAGCCAGTTCGGTTCGAAAACGTATCCAAAATCCGTAGAATCCGAGAATCGGGGAGTACCATTATATGGGCCCCCTGAAATTTAGATCAATACTAATAATTTTTGGTACGGTCAATATTAATATTTTGCAGCCAACTCGATTAGAAAACATTTCCAAAATCCTCAAAATACCGAATATAAGGTGGTACCGTTATATGGGTGCTACATCCATTTGTAATGCGAAATACCCTAGGAGTAACAGCAATGTCAGTGCAAAAATATTGCGATCCCTATCGTGAATTCAACCGACGGACATGTGTAAATCGACGACGTTTTACCCCACCATGCGTCGCCAATTTGGGGCCACTTTTTGTGCTTTTAGGAAAAATCTCCTTTAAAAATTGCTGAAATTTGTATTTGGTGTACATTACGGTATACATAAATCGGTGTATATAAATGTCGGTATAGGTATGTCCCTTTGGTATGTCCCTTTATTTTCTTTTCAAGTACAAGCCGAACTTAACGCTTTTTTCAGTTGTTTCTCGATTATAACACAGTTGTAACGAACTTGTTATTAAAGCCAACACGTTTCCTATTGCCGAAGTTCTAAGACATATTTATCATTCAAACCTTTAGTCTTATAGCGAACTACAGTTATAACGAGCTTTTTTATAACGAACTATTTATTCGGTCCCAACATTCAGTTTTCATTTATTTTAATATGGTTATAACGAACTTGCTACAACAATAAATATTACTTAAGGATGGCAATCCTCACACAAGTAATTTTTACGACAACGCTGTCAACCTTTACAAAAAATGCCAGCTGTCATTTTCATCAATGAAAAAGAGGAGAAGCATAAGGATTACCGAAATGGAGGATTTGCTAAGCCTAGTATTTGATTTACCTTCGATATAACGAATTAATTTGCTTCGACCCTACTAGTACTTCACTGTATTTGACAATAGCATCTTTGATCAGCTTAGGTTAGGTTAGGGATGTACGGTTGTTGTAACAACCGTCCACTCGGAAACTATGTCCATTGTGATCATCCTTTATGTATAGGTGCACCTATAAAGAGAAGAAACAAGATAGTGGAAGAATAGAGAGGAGAATAGTGAGAAGAAAGGGGCGGAAGAGAGATTATTTTAGCCAAGTCAATTTTTTGACAAAGCCTAGAATTTGGTTAGGGTCTATTTTGGAGAAGAAGACTAGATTATCAATTTCATAACATCCAAACTGTTTATGTCTTCTGCTGATCAGCGATGGACATTTCCAGAGGATGTGCTCAATTGTTTCCAGTTCTTCTTCGTCCTCACATAGACGACAGTAATCCTCTCCACTGGAGTCCCACTTAGAAGTGAGAGATCTAACTTTGCAATGACCAGTCATAATCCCCACAACGATTTTAATCTCCCTCTTGCTGTGTTCCAGCAGCGAAGGCGTTCTTTTACGAGAGAATTCTGGCCAGATAGATTTAGAGATTCTACAAGCACGTTCCCTTAGCCATCTGTTACCGATTACCTCGCACGGATTCTGCCAATGAAATAGCTAATGGGGGGTTTCACAGATCTCTCACTCAGAAGACTGGACGACTGTGACCCCCCTCGAGCAAGCTCGTCGGCTATCTCATTCCCTTCAATGTCGTTATGTCCTGGAACCCAGCATAGCCCAACTATCTGTCGTATATCATTCAGAGCGGTCTTACAATCATGAACTGCTTTCGAGTTTATAGTATGCGACTTCACCGCTTTCAGGGCCGCCTGACTATCTACATAAATAGTCACCGGTCCCGTAATGTCGGCATTAAGTGCTTTTACTATCTCGGCCGCTTTCGTGATTGCGAGAATCTCTGCTTGAAAGACGCTACAGTCATTGTTGAGTTTATATGAGTTCTGTATACCTAATTCCCTACAGTAGACGCCTGCGCCAGTGCCTTCCTCCATCTTGGACCTGTCTGTGAAGATTGACAGACCTGGCAGAGGTAGGGAGCCACTAGTCCAGGATTCCCTACTAGGAAATTCAACTTTGATGTCATTAAAGTCCCTGTGGGGGGAATATAATCACTGATATGACTATCCCCCCTAAAGAGGTCATAACCTGGCGTTATGTTTAGGATGCTGGCATGACCATAGTTCAGCGATTTCAAGGCATCTGTTTCCCGGAGTCTCAGGGCACACCTGGTCGCCAGGAATTTGATCAGAATATCCAATGGTTGGAGATTCAAGATTGCATTCAAGGCTGCCTGTGGTGTACTTCTTAATGCTCCGGTGATTAGAATTGAAGCCGATCGCTGTACTAAGCTAAATTTTGTCAGCAGTTTATTTTTATTCACCCCCTGCCACAAGACAAGACAGCTATATGTAAGTATGGGTAAGACAATCGTCGTATACAGCCAGTGTATAATTCCGGGTCTCAATCCCCAACTCTTGCCTATGGAATTCTTGCATGAATAGAGTGCCAGCAATCCCTTCTTGGAGCGTTCCTCAACATTCCTATTCCACAGTAACTTGCGGTCTAGGATAGTGCCAAGATATTTAGCTTCATCAGAAAGGGATAAAGTCACCCCTCCAAGTGATGGCAGACGGAAACTAGGAATTTTGTGCTTCCTAGTGAAGAGCACCAGTTCGGTTTTAGTAGGGTTTACACCAAGACCTTTAGTGTAAGCCCAGTTAGACAGGGTTGAAAGGGCACCCTCCAGGATGTCTGATATTGTCGTTATAAACTTACCCCCAACCAACAAGACTACATCATCGGCATAGGCTAACGCCTTTATCCTGAGATGATTGAATTGATCAGCTTACATAGCGAAACAATTTCTACTGGTACTCACCTCCCTAATAAATTTGCGGTTTTCTGCTTTGTGTGAATGGAATGGTTCGTATACACCCGACAACCTCTGAATCAAATTATTAGTCAACCATGGGCAAAACACCATTTGCCATCATTTCATAATACTAAAAATACCAGGTATTAAACATTTCTATAAAATAATGAGGAAGTTTTTTTCATACCACTGATAGTTTTGTAATTGACCTGTATTAGATCTTTTTTCAGCATTACCATGGGCAACATTAACTCCCATTGTTGTTCCTGAAAATTCAATAAAAAATGTTGTGGGAAATAAATGAAACGATTTTTTTAACTCACTAAGGGCCATATTCAATGTAAACTTTTGCAATAATGTTATGACATCCGGACATTCATCGATTCCTTTGAACAGCTTTACAGCCTCATTTACCTCTTGATTAAAGATTGGCATAAAACTCTGTAATATTTTAAAACCAAAAGCCGGATTCAAATGCTTCCTATGGACGCTCCATTCCGGATCTAATGTTTTGTTTAGTTTAATATGTAATTGTGATTGTGAGATTTATTTTGTCAAGTTACCTACGGATGCAAATAGTCCATTTCCAACACCTGTGTTAACCGGTTTATATGATATAGTTTTATACGTACAATATGGCGATGTCAATATATCACGAATAATATCCGGTTCGGTTAAAATCAATACGGGATAAGTACCCAACCATATACACACCAAGGGTCATGGTCATGGAAAAAATCAACTTATAAAGCGCTTCTCCATCATTGGTACTCTGTGTTTGAGATTAATTAACACTAGATTTACGGATGTTGAGTGTATACCTACTTCTACGAAAGTGAGTCAATTTGACTCATACCAGAAAATTTAAGTTTTTCTTAGATAAATATTCATTATTCCTTCAGAAGATAGCGTGATTACAACAGACGGACGGACAGACGGACGGACATGGCTAGATCGTCTTCGAATTTTACCCTGATCAAGAATATATATATACTTTATAGGATCGGAAATGAATATTTCCATGAGTTACAAACGGAATGACAAAATTAATATATCCTCCATACTATGGTGGAGGGTATAAAAATGGCAAATCAGAGCAAAAATATGTAATCTTATTAAAGGATAAAACATTGCTAAAGAGTGAAAATCGATATTTCGATTAGTTCATGAAATATGCGACACGTATTATTTGAAAATTCACACCAATTCGAAGAACTTAAAAACAGGTTTAAACAAAAGTCTTAGCTAACAGTATTTCTTGTACCATTATAAGCTTTTATATTTTGGCGGTTCCGATGGGGACGTTGACCTCATTTAAAACCGATTTTCAGTATTAATTAATATAGGTCAGCCTTTATGTTTTCGAGCTATAAAATTTTAGAAAAAAACCTATCTAAATTTGTATTTCTTGTATATTTGTATTTTGTATTCCTTTGAAAAATTCCTGTATAGGTCAACTTGTTGGTATATTCCTTCATTTGTATACCCTTCACCACACTAAGGTACAGGGTATTATGTCTTTGTGCATATTTTTTTAACAGGCAAAACGAATCGAGATAGACCCACGGCTCAGAATCATTTTCTGAGTCGATTTATGAATGTCCGTCCGTCCATATATTTTTGTGAGCAAAGTACAGGTCGGTTTTATGATCCAATTTGAATAAAATTTGGCACAGGTCACTTATTTGGCTCAAGGACGAAATTGGAGAAAATAGGTTCAGATTTAGAAATAGATCCTACATATAGTTTCGTCGATTTTATGTAAATGGTGCACCAAACTTCCAATTTTGGTCCGATTGAGAAAAAATCCGTGAAGTTTTGTTGAAATAGGTTCAGATTTTAAAATCCACCATAGATCTTGTACTATTTGCACGATATTTGAAATCTGTCCAGATGTAGATGTACATATAGCTGCCGCATACAAATGGTGCAAATATATATTGGATCTCATTTTATTTGTTCGATTGTGCTTCTTATTAAATCCATCGAGTGTCCAAATTATTTAATATTACCGTTTTTAGTCAACTCTATAGCCATTCCCAAA